GTTTCCAGTAATACCACCTATATTATAAACCAAGTGCTCATACATACATAAATCTATTCTGGACAGCATCTTCAACAAATGATGGTCAAACTGGATGGCTTTATGCAGAAGAATGAAAATAATACATCTCTCTCACCCTGCACAAAACTCAACTCCAAATAGATCAAGGACCTCAATATAAGACAAGTTTCCCTGAAGCTGATTATGTTTAGAACAGAATGTGAGGTACAGTATTGAACTCACTGCCACAGGAAAAGAGGAAACCAACAGCACAGGCACTAAGAAGAGTAATTAATAACTGGGACCTCATGAAGCTGAAAAGCTTCTTTACAGCAAAGGACACCAACATACAGGTAAAGCAGCAGCCTACAGAATGGGAAAAGATCTTAATCAATTCTATACCTGAAAGAGGGTTAGCATCTAGAATATATAAAGAAAAATGAACATCAAGAGGACAAATAACTTAATTAATAATGGGGTCCAGAACAGAAAATTCTCTATCGATGAAACACAAATGGCTGAGAAACATTTAAAATGTTCAACATCCTTAGCCATCAGGAAAATGCAAATTAAAATTACTATCAGATTTCATCTAACCCTAGTCAGAATGACCAAGATCAATAAAATAAATGACAGCACATGGTGGTGAGAATGCAGGGAAAGGGGAACACTTATTCATTGCTGGTGGGAGTGCAAACTTGTACAGCTAATACGGAAATCAGTGTGGTGGTTCCTCAGGAAGCTGGGGATACATCTACTTCAAGATCCAGCTACACTACTCTTGGGCATCCACCCAAAGGACTCTACATCCTATCAAAAAGGCACTTGCTCATCCATGTTCACTGCTGCTCTGTTCATAATAGCCATAAATTGGAAACAGCCTCAGTGTTCAGCAACTGATGAATGGATTTTAAAAAAATTATGAAATTTACAAGTAAATGGCTGCAACTAGAAACAATCATCCTGAAGGAGACAACCAGATCCAAAAGGACAAATATTGCAGATTTTCTCTTATATGTGGATGTTAGCTTTCAATATTTGTATTACAATCCTAATAACCACAGAGGTTAGATATAGAGTAAAGGACTAGGGGATAGGACAGCATCTCCCAAGGAAGGGGAAATAGAATAATATATAGTTATGACAAGACAAAGAGGAAACTAGAATAGAAGGATTACATAGGGAGAGGAATGTGAGAAAAGGAGATCTTGGGGAGGGACGACTAACACCAAAGGCCATTTGAAACACCTACCACTGTAGAAGCTTCCTAATATATACATATACGAGAATAATCTGGATGGAGCCACCAAATAATAGGGGCAATAATGTCCCACATAAACATCTTATGCAATAAAGTAAAACCTCCAATGCCAGGATTGGATCTTGATTCACTGGCCAAAGGGGTCACGGAAACCCCTAAACATCACAAGCTATTGTCAAGGCTATTGGTTGCTCTCTACAACCTGAAGGTAAGGTCTACTACTGAAGACAATACTTATTTACATCATTAAAGACAGAGAACTTGGTGCCTAACTAAAAGCTTCACCCCCACTGACTAGCATTCAGTGGGTACTAGAAGGTAGTCTGTATGCTACTGAATGAGAAAGGTAATCATCAATATCACCCAAGTACCAACCCTGCTGACTAAAATAATGGCCATCCTACAAGATATACTGGTGCAATACTGGCACAAATCTCACAGGAGTGACCAACCACTTATTGCTTGGACTTCAGGATCAGCTTATGAGACAGAATTCATATCTAACAATGCTAAAGTGGTCAAGAACCTGAAACTAGATGTAGGTCATGAGCCTAGAGGAAAACCTAATATTATTTTGCTAAAGGAACGTAGCAATAAAATGACTCCTAATGACATATTGCTACATGCATAAATCAATGCGCTACTCAACCCACATCAGAGAAGCTTCTTGCAGAAGATGGGAATTAACACAGACAATGTACAAAGAATGAGAGGTTTGGGAGCATTCAGTCCTAAACAGGATGTTTTCATCACACCCCTCCCTTTAAGGATCAGGGAGCTATGTGGAAGGGGAGTTCAGAAAGACTGAATGAGCCTGTGGTGGTCTGAAAGAAAATGGCCCCCCAAAAGGAGTGGCACTCTTAAGAGGTGTGGCCTTATAAAATAGTTGTGGTATTGTTGGAGAAAGTGTGTCACTATGGAGGCAGGCTTTGAAGTCTCATATATATATGTTCAAGCCATACCTAGTGAAACAGACCACTTCCTGTTGCCTGTGGGATTAAGATGTAAGAACTCTTAGCTCCTTCTCTGGCACCATATCTGCCTACACGCTGCCTTACTTCCTGCAATGACTAAATAATGGACTAAACCTCTGAACTGTAAGCAAGCCACCACAAGTAAATGTTTTCCTTTATAAGAGCTGCGTGGTCATGGTGTCTCTTCACAGCAATGGAATCCCTAACTAATACAGAGCCAGAGGCGATAAATGATTCCAAGCCTAATACTGGATTGGTAGGGAATAAGAAAACGATCAGCGGGCTGGAGGGGTAGCTCAGAGGTTAAGAGCACTGGCTGTTCTTCCAGAGGTCCCTAGTTCAATCCCCAGCAACCACATGGTGGCTCACAACCATCTATAATGAGATCTGGTGCCTTCTTCTGGCATGTAGACAGAACACTGTATGTGTAATAAATAAATCAATCCCCAACACCACAATTTAAAAAAAAAAACAATTAATACTAAATAAGAGCACAAGAAACATTCTGACGAAATACTGAATTATTTCCATATAAATAATCAGGTTAAGACTGAAAACAAATCTTGGCTATGTAACTGGCTCTTTGAGTTCTCAGCACAAAGCCTCAAAAGTCTTTGGGATTTCCTAAAGACAGTGTTTGCTATGGTAGTAACTGATTGTTTAATGACTCTTACATGGCCTCAAAGACCAAACAAGATCAACTATATGATTTAAATATGGGATCTTTGAGGGTGACCCATTTTGAGGAAGAGATAGGAGCTGAATATTAGGCTCAATTTTGGTCAATGGCTTAATCAACCAGCACAGGTGCTGAGATTTCAATGAATGCCTTTACTTAGGACCCACTGAAGCATGTGGAGCTTCCTAGCTGGTGAACACACAGACTTGCAAAACAGTGACACATTCTGATTAGATAAGACACAGAAGCCCTGCTTTTAGATGATTCTCTTGATCTTTACCCATGACAACAAAACTCCTGTAAGTACCTTCAGGTCTGTAAGTTTTTCTAGTCAAGTATCAAAGCTGAGGGGTCCTGAGGACTAGTGGGCCAAACTATGGGTGAGTTGGAAACACCTGCACTGTAGCTAGCCTCTAACATCATAGCAATTTTGTTGAGGACAAAGCCCATAATTTGTAGTCTGATGTTAACTCCTGGTTCTACTTTGAACTGCTCTGCAACATTCCCAACAGGAAGTGAGCAAGAGTAAAGTAAAATGTGAGAAACGAAAGAACTGATCACATAGTATTTGAAAAAAGAGATAGCACAAAAAGGACTCCTCCACATTATTCTTCTGAAGAGAAGAATAATGCCATCTACCCAGAGAGAGGAAATACATGAAATAGTAGGTTCTTTAGTAACATATACTAAAGTTCCAACAAACACACAAACCGAGGAGCCTGAGGCTAACTAATAAAAATCACAAACAAAAGAGGGCTCACTTAGCAAACACTGAGTTTTCCACAGTCAATGTAACTCAGTATGTGGCCACTATTTCATGTACAATTTTTCAGAGCAGATTTATAATATGAATAAATAACATATCTAATAATTAAGGAAAGTTATTTTGGTATTGAGATATGACTCAACCTTCAGTTAAGAATTTCACTAAGGCAATGTCTCATAATTTGCACATGAATTTGTAGTACCTCCATGACAGAGAGTGAATTACACAGATAAAGAAAATGATGTCTCATGTTAAAACTGGCTCACGATAACGCATGAGAAATATTCTCAACGAACAAAAAATAAATGAAAACTAAGTCTGCGTCAACACACAATCAAGAATCACAAAAAGCTGGCATCTTCTAAGTCTTTATCAGTGGCAAACCATGACAAGCCTAAGAGATCATGTAGGGTGCTTTTAAAACACAAAAAAATCATTAAGTCTCAAAACTGTGTTTCTCCCTCTAAATACAGTTTAATTTGAACAACAACAACAAAAAAAAGATGAAATACTAATAGTAATATAGAAATGAGGGAAAGCTGAGACTAGAGTTATAGGAAGAGAATGACACCTAATAACCTTTCATTAATTAAGGGAATGGATAACCAGAACTAGAGTCAGAACTTAGAGGCAAAGCGCTGGGCGTGATGAACAGTGACAGAGCACGTGTGAGCCTGGACTTGAGTCTCAACACAACAAAAAGAAATACCTCTTCAGCTAGAGGCAAACAGACCTAACAGAAACTTACCCAGAAATCACCTACCCAGGAGCACTGGACAAAGTAAATGATATTAAAACAATGGAAAAAGCACTTCATTTTAATTAACAGTATAAAAAGAAAGCACAAAAATATCAAACTTAAAGGAAAAATTAGCAATTATCAATTCACCACATATCAGTGTCATAATTACTAGCAGAAGTTTAGAGTTAAGACTGCATACTGAATCAATGGATTCATTTTCTGACCCATAAAAAGTATGCCATGTTATATTTTTCATGTGTAACATTAAAAAGCTTGTATGATAAAGTAAAAAATAATATGTTATAAGTTTCGGGGGTATTTTTGTTGTCATTTTATTTCAAAAGGCAACTTTATAAGTTCACATATCCCAACATTTTAAACCAAACAACTGAACAACAAAAAATTCTTATTGCCAGGAGAAAAAGATAAAAATGTTTCCAATATTACTTCATGTTGCGATTCAGCCACTACCAGTAAGGTGTGCCCCTTACCAGAAGGCGGTCTGTTGGTTCATTCTCTTGGGATAACTACATAAAAAGCTTGTTGCTTACACACTAAGAAACAGTCTGTATACTAACCTGGCCCAGTCCAGGCATACCTCCTCCAAGTCTAAGAAGTCTGTCCATATTTCTAGAAAACAGAAACAAAGGAAAACGTTCCTTAGCACAAAAGTGTTTACTCAATTGCTATCTATATAATTCACCTTCAGTCACTCAGTATGTCAAAAATATTGGTGGTAATTACAACACAACATCAGACTTCCTGTTAATTAACACCACATATTAATTCAAGAAGCTGTCTTCCATGCTAATTAACAGACCTTATTTCACTGCTTTGGTTTTGGGTTATCCCCAGTTTTAAAGACAAGCAATCTTAGCATACTTTCAAAACTTTGCTATCCTTAAGTTAATTATATTTTCTTATTGTTATCTAATAAAGCACCTGGATGGGGGGGAAGTGCCCGAATGCTTATCATATGTATGATTGAATTTCCTTCAATTTGCTCAGAGTGTACAAATAAAAATCTACACTTTTAAATTAAATTTTAACATCCTCATTAGTAAGTGCTGTGCTAATTAACTTACAGCTTGTCAGTTATCATCAAAACTACATGTGAAAGACATTGTGAGTGGATTACGGATCTCTGAATTAGCATCAAAGGCTTTTTAAAAATGAACTCATTATATTAAAAGAAAATACTATAGAGTAAACATTAAATGCATTAAGATAGTGTTCTAGAACCTACGCAGATACACTTATTTCAGATGCTGTAGAGATACACTTCCCTTCATAGCTGCTATCCTCAATCACAATTTCAGAGTTAATTATTACAACTTGGAGATATCAGTTTATCTTCAGCATCTGGAATAACTAAAGAAGATATTGATAAGCACAAGAAGCTCACAAAAGAAACAGAAAAGAAATGGCAGTTGTACTTGCATGGCCTTGGATACAGGATAAGGAATCAAATTATTCAAGAATAGCAGTGTAACTAAGTTTATAAAGATGAAAACAAAGCAACTTTTTTTTACTTAAAAACTACTACTGTGCCTTAAAGTTCATCTTCTTACTAAGTGTATACTTAGATCATCACAAATTATAATATAAACCAAGCATTAAGAGATTAGGAATTTTTGTTCACACTTTACCAATTAGAACTGTTACAAACTAAACCTCAATTAAATCATTATAATTCTGCCTAATTATGTTTGCTGAACCAGTTGGTAACAACTTAATCCAGTAATATTTAATAATCGTAACATCACAAACTTTATTCAAGTCTGCAAACAGAAAGGCACACAAATGATGAGGCAGAGGACACCTCACAAAGTGAGCACACTGGTTGATGAAGCCATCATCTACATTTAAAAGCCACAGCAAATGCCTCTGAAGCCCTTTCCAGTCCCTACCATTTCAGACAGGTGGGATTCTGGCTTGTCACGGTACAGAATAGTTCTGCTACTTTCCAATTGTATAAAAACAGAACCACAGATTTTTTTTTTTGTCTGACTTTTTCTTTCACACAACACGTCTGTGAGATTCACAACAGATAAATTCATCTGTATAAAAGAAAAGGCAAGAAAATTTGATATTTCAGACAAAATCTAATCTTCACAACCATACTTATCTGTCTAATTATAATTACAAATAACAGCTCCATCAAGTTCCTCAAATAGTCATTTCAGTACAATCCCTTTTAAACAATCTTGTAATTTTAAAATATTAAAGATACTTTCTCTAAAATGTATTTCTAAAGAAAAATTCTTCTGGACTACTTCAGGCTCACAAACTAAAGAAGCATCGGGGGTGGCAACATGCCCTTCAGAACACATACACAGCCTCATCCTAGGCAGAGTCAACCCCAGCTGTGTTGGTCTATCTACTTCCTCTGTGCTGCTTCTGATATTACAGACTCCAGATGCTGTGAATATACATGAGCGATGTGGGAGCATAGGGAAAGAAAATCTGGCAGGTCAAACTTGTGTTTTTCACAAAATTAGATGTCTCAGCAAACAAGAAAAGATATTTAACAAATTAAAACTCTTAAGATGAACACGTTTTATAAAAATACTAACATTTGGAAATGAAATATATTGATAAATATTCTAAATCACACAACTTCTTAAAATCTGGTTATCACACATATTCATAATTTGATGCCTGTTATAAAATAATACATTTACATAGCATCTATCAGATCTTAAAACAACAGTTAAAGGTAAAATACACTCTTAAACCTTACCTGGTCAGCAACTGTAACTCTTACAGTGTTGGGATTCAATTTGTTAAATTTGACAAATTTCTTATTAACTCCAATTCTTGCTAATTCTGACAGGTATTTTTCACAAGTGGTCTTTTTTTTCCCTCCTTTGTCTCCTAAAAAGGAAAGGTACTTAATTGAGAACCGAGAACATTTTATATCTTCCCCCAAAAGAATCTTTAAAAGAAGTAAAGTCCTGCAAATGAACTAGAAGTCAACATTCTCCCAATGCTGGACACTGGACCAGGGGCCTCATCCATGCTAGGCAAACACTCTTATACTGCCAGCTCTAAAACCAATTTTTAATAATGATTTCTTGAGAGCATGGACTTATTTAGCACCTATGTGGTTATTGGGCATAGAGATTACTCTGTTACACTGTGTTTATGTATTTCACCTTTGCCCCTGACTTTGAGGGCTGATATTTTATAGCTTTCAGTACCCCTTGGGGTCTCTCAAAGAATAATACTTGCTTATGGTTTTAAAAATAGTAAGAATCACTTTATTATATAATCAGTATATAGGTTCAATACAAATTTCGACACTTGTACATAGAGGACCCTACTAGTGTTATTTGTCTTTTATCTTGAAAACTTCACCTCCATGATCCTTGCAATTAGTTCATCCTTTAATTATTCACAACTATGATGAAAATAATAAGAAAATGCAAAGTACTAAGAACTGCATAAAAGCAAGAGGGAAATAAATTGTAACAACACTATCATCCTTTAATTCCTACTGTGTTGCCAAAAGCACTGGTTTATCTTTCAAAAATATGCAGGAGACCGAGTTTGAAAGCAGTCCAAGCTCCGCAGTAAGACCCTGTCAAAAACCACAAGAAGCTCAGGCACAGTATCCCAGTACTTTGCCTCAAGACCACACCTTTAGGAGGTGGTGGCGCATGCCTTTGATCCCAGCGCTTGGGAGGCAGAGGCAGCTGGATCTCTGTGAGTTCGAGGCCAGCCTGGTCCACAGAGTGAGTTCCAGGAAAGGCACAAAGCTACACAGGGAAACCCTGTCTCCGGGGCATGCACCACCCACACTCACCCTCCCCCACCCCCACAACCACCTGGCTAAAGTTTCATTCTTATTGCAGAATCCCAGGTGAATGCAAATCAGCAGACACTCTTGTCTCTATGACAGTAAAATCTAGGTCAAAAGTCAGAATATCAAGTTTGGTACTACTGACATCCAGAACCTTTAATTTTGCTGTGGGGGCTGTCCAATGTATTACAATGTGTTTAGCAGTAGCTTTGACCTGCACACACTAAATGTTAACAGAAATGACTAACATGTGACAATAAAAAAATGTCTCCAAACATCGCTAAATGTCCCTTGGAAGGGCAAAATCACTCTCAATTGAGAAACACTGCTATAAACAAAATCTGAGGCTATATATCTTGAGGTGACAATATCCTAAGTAAATTTTTTCAAAACCAAGGAGTTCTGTAAACAACTTGGCAGTTGTTCAAAAATTTAAACACAGAATTACCATACAGCCCATCAATTCTATTCCTAGATATATGTCACAAAAATTTAAAACAGGTCTTTAAAATAAGACATGTACATTCATGTGAACAGCATTACTATTCAAGATAGTCAAAATGTGACAACAGTCCAAATGCCCATCACACAATGAATAAACAAATTATCATACATACATACAATAGGATACATGAAATATTACTTGGCTCTAAAAAGGAACAAAGTAATGATATGTCTTACAACTTGGCTGAACCTGAAAACATGAAAGGGCTGGAAATGTAGCCCAGCCACTGAGTGCTTGCCTTGGTATGTAAAAAAATCTGAGTTCAATCCCTAGCACAAGGAAGGAATTGGGGAGGGGGGGGAGGGACCGGGAACCAGGCCTAAAATGCGGTATGTCATGTGTGATGGTTTTAACTTCCAGGATGACATGACCTACAATCACACTGAGTTGAGAAGAGTCTCAGTAAGATTAACTAGATCAGGCTGGCCTAAGTGCATGTCTGTGGGGGACTGTCTTGATTGCCTTAATTTATATGGAAAGACACAGCCAGAAATTGAGCAATACCATTCCCTGGTTTTGGCCCCAGACTGTGTAAGAGCAGAGAAAGCTAGCTGAGCACAGAGGCATACACTCATTTCTGTTACTAACTGTTGATGTGAAGGGTCTACCTGCTCCAAATTCCTACCCTGACTTATCGGAAATGATGATGGACTGCATTTGTAAGATGAATTTGATGTAATCTGAATTTGTAAGATAAAAATAGTTCCTTTCTTGCCTAAATTGTTTTTTGGTCAGGGTGTTTTTGTTTCTGTTTTGTTTTTACATTTTATTTTATTAAAAAATCCTTTTTCATTTTATATACCAACCATAATAACCCCCTCCCTCCCCTTCTTTTGCTCCTCCCTACTTACCCCCCCCCCATCCACTCCTCATGGGGGTAAGGCCTCTCTTGGGTAGTCAACACAGGCTGGCACACCAAGTTGGGGCAGGGCCAAGCCCCGCGCCCCCCACTGGATGAAGGCTGAGCAAGGCGTCCCACCATAGGGAATGGGTTCTAAAAAGCCAGTTCATGTACTATTATCAGGGTGTTTTTATCACAGCAATGGGGACATCGTGTGATCCCACTTATATGAAATATACAATAAGTCTATTAGATGAAATGAAGACAACTGAAACATACAGCATTTCCATACATACTTGACTTTGCTTGGTTCTCCCACCCCATCCCATCCCTCCTTTTCCAATGTACACCATTCCATTCCCAATATTCCCTTCCCACTTTCATGTCATGTTTGTTCCATTACCCTCCCCATCCCCTTCTGAAAGCTCTGTTTTCCCATCTAATAGGTCCCCATCTACTTTCTTGATCTTTACCCACTCCATCTCACATAAATACACATTTATAAAAATTAGAAGATAGGATAAGCATATGAGATAGAACACATGATATTTGTCTTTATGAGCCTGGGTGACCTCACTTAATGTACTATTTTCCAGTTTCATCCATCTTGCAAACTTCACAATTTCCTAAAACTCCACTGTATGGCCACATTTCCATTGTCCATTCATCTGTTGGTGGACAGTGAGACCAGTTCCCTTTCCTTGCCATTGTCACCAGAGCGAATAAATTTCCTTCCCCCTACACTCTCACCAGTGTTTGTTGTCGTTCTAATAGTCATTCAGCCTGAGATGAGATGGAATTTTAGAGTCATTTTACTTGTTGTTTCCCTGGTGGCTAAAATGCTGAAAACCTTTTAAAATAGCCACTGATCATTTGTGTTTCTTCTTTGGGGAACTCTTTTCAACTCATTAGCCCATTTATTGACTGGCTACTTTTTTCTTAACAAACTTTTATTTTATTTTATTTTATTTTATTTTATTTTATTTTATTTATGCATGTGTCTATGTGTGTGTAAATTGTGTATGAGTCACTATTCTGGTGTTTAATTTTAGAAGTTCTTTATATATTCTAGATATTAACCCCCTGTCAGAAGTATAACTGGCAAAGATTTTCTCCCATTCTGCAGGCTGTCTGTTCACTCTGCTGATAAGTCTTTTTTGTTCCTGTACAGAAGCTTTTTAATTTCATGTAATTCCATTTGTCAATTCTAATTGGTATTTGTAAATCTAAAAATAAAATGTTTTACAATTGAGGCAAATATGATGGCTCTCCTCCATTCAACAAAATCATGAGCTGTCAATGTTTTTAAAAGTATCACAAGTGGGAAAATGAAAAGCTCTGGAAATGGTTGGTAGTAATACAGTGATTCAACAAAGAAAATATACTAAACGCCGCAGAACTACACATCAAAAATAGTTAAAGTGATAAATCTTACTGTGTCTACTTTGTATGCACACACTCACAGTCCTACTAAAAGTGTGCTTACACTTTCAGGACTTTTTGGCAGCCCTAGAGCTTCTTCCTAGGCGAGCAAGCATTCTATCACTGAACTATACCTCCAGTTCCTACTGAACTCGTCTTCACAAGAAACATGTATGCCAGGTTCATGCACGGTCAATAGTGAGCAGCTAGTTAAACTCAAGGGATGTTGCCAATCTGAGCTACCTATACTTTCAAAATCAGAAAAATACAGAATAAGTACTTACATTTGCTACATCACACCTTATTAACATCTCAAATATAATTTTCAGCATCCCTTTATTTTCCTATCTTTAAGTTATTAGCAAGATGATCTAAAAGTGCAAGTAATAAAAACAGCCCACTGGGATGAGATAAATGATGATAACCACTTTTCTTAGTTATCATCCTGCAGCTATAGAGCCAGAAATGCAAACTGGCTCTAATACTCATTAGCAGTGTGTTCCTCAGTCAGTTACCTTTCCTCCTCAAGCTCCTCATCCACAAAATGAAAAAAAAGAGAACATCTGTCTCATATCGCTGTTTAGAAGAATAAGTAAGTCAATACACACAGAAAACACTCAACACAATCACGGGCATTTGATAAGCAAACAGGACTGCTACCTGCTGTGCCTCATCATCAGCACTCACCATCCTACAAGAGCTACCTTCCTTCTCACTTTGGAGCCACTTAGTGGGCCTCAGAACACCAGCTATGTCTCAGAAATAAACTCATCACACTGGAGACAGGGACACCCATTTTCAGAATTCAGCAAAGAGGGTCACAAGTTAAACTGTGCACCATAATATAAGAGAGAACACTTTTACAGGGTTTCTCTGTGTATCCCTGGCTGTCCTCAAACTCACACTGTAGACCAGGCTGGTCTCAGACAGAGATCCGACTGTCTCTGCCTCCTGAGTGTTGGGGTTAAAGGTGTGAGCTGCCACCACCACCCGGCTAAAAGAAAACACCTTCAATTCTCAGAAATAGAAGCAATGTAAAAGGTTCATAGATCAAAACTAAACTTACACCTATCAAAAAAACTGAGTATTTAAGAGCCCAGTCATAATAGATTCACTTTGATATTTTCTTTAATTTATTTTTATGTATATGGGTGTTTTGCCTCATGCATGTATGTGCACCACATGAATGCCTGGTACGCCCTGAGATCAGAAGAGGGTGTCAGATCCCCTGGAATTAGAGTTACAAATAGTTGTTAGCCGCCATGTGGGTGGTGAATCTGAGTCCTCTGCAAGAACAAGTGCTGTTAAGCACCCAGCCCTCTCCCCACCCTGATATGATAACTTTGCTTAACACATTTATTACCACAATATGATGTGTTTTACATACTCAATATAACATCACATACACAGCAACATTTAGAACCCTTACAGCAAAGACTAGAAAACAAAAATCTACTTGAAAGTTGAAAGCTCACCACTTAACCTCTCAGGGCAGTATCTTGAATAAAATGCAATAATTTTAGAACATGTACATGTTAGCAGTTCTCAAATATTTACAGGCACTATATGAAACAATAGCTACATAAAAAGCAGATCCTTCAAAGTTGTATTAATTTGGATTTTTCAACCTTTCAAGCTTTTCTGAGGGATCTTAACATACCAAAAATGCATAAACTTCATATAAAATCACAAAGTGTTTAGTCATTCAGGTTTAACATTGTATCTCCTACTTCACTGGTTTACTTCCCATTCCTCTGTGTAAATATTAATATTCTCAAATTAATAGTAAATCCTTTTAAACTACTCCATATTTATGATCTCACTACATTTCTACTTCTTCAATTCTCTATTCTCTGATTTGTGGAAGGTAGAAACTTCTTCCTTACTTTTTTCCAGAATTAGAACCAGAAAAAGTGAAAATTTAATTCTTTAAATAGAATTTCTACCACCTTTAGTTTTTTTTTAAGACAGGGTCTCACCACATGGCCCTGGGTGGCCTGGACCTTGCGATAGGCAAAGCTGGTCTCACACTTGGAGCAATCCTACCACCTCTGTTTCTTGAGTACTGGAATTACAAACATTTAAAAGCAAGATTGGAAGCCAGCAGCAAGGTGGCTTAGCAGGAAAGAGCGTGCTGCCCAGCCTAATGATTAGTCTGAGTCCCAGAACCACGTGGTAGAAACGGTGAACTGACTGCTGCAGGCTGTCCACTCTTTCTCCCCTCCTCCAACCCGTCTGTCTGTCTTTCTGTCTGTCTCTCTATGCCCCCTCTCTCTCTGTTTTGGTGAACCAATACTTTAAAAATTAGAAAACAAGATTCTACTCCAATCCCCACTTAGAAGACTAAGAATTTAGTCTTAGAAGAAATACAGCTTTCTACTGCATTGTCACTAATTATAACATTTAAGCAAAATATTTGCAAGGTACTACCTTGTGCACTCAAAATTTAAGTATGCAACAGGAAAACATTAGTAATACAGAGTTAAGAATGGCTCTAGAACCAATCAACTCAGATTTGAATCTAGACTTCACCATGTACCCACTACATTATGTAGAACAAGCTACTTTCGTCTAGCACTAGACCCTAAAATCTACAAAAATATGTAACCTTGCCAAGTCTGTTGTCACAATTGATCGAAAGTGTCTATAATAGAGCCTGGAAGGAATATCCTAGGTACTCAATAAATGCTGTCACTGTTACAGTTCTCCTAAAACTAATAAAGACCATTCAACTTAATGTATTATTTGGCAAATGAGGATAACAAACTATCACAAAGCAAAGTATGAATTCTCCACTAGGTGCAGCAAGACTATGAAAAGTTCATCACAAGCAGACATGGTGTGAATACTCACTACTCAGATAAGGCTTCCCCAAGTAGACCCTGAATATCAAAACACTGCTGTAATACTGAAAACCAAAAAGGTTCAATTGCTTGTTACTGATTTTCAAATGATTCTAAATCTATGTACTATACTAAGGTTTATATGGCAAGCATAAAAAGATGATGAATCCAGTCTTGAAGTTAAATTCTAGCTTTTTAACTAGACTAGCAATGCATTATTACCAAAGATCTCAGGAGGTGAGGCTGGGATGGATGTCACAAACCCAATAGGTGAGATTAAATAAAAGATCATGCCATCAAATTTTTCTTCTTTTGGCCAAGATATAATTCTGTTTTAGGCAAATCCAAGACAATTTTCAGTTCTTCACCAAGCATACCTTAACTATAGTTAATTATGAGCCACTGTATATCTCAATATCTATACATATACAACCTATACAATTTAAGTCAAATAATTTATTTGTATTATTTTTAATTTTGTCTGTGTGGGTGGGTGGGTATATGCACATTTGTAAAGGTGCCTGAAGACACCTGCAGAGACAGGGTTACAATCCATTGTGAGCCACAGGCTATATGGGTGCTGGGAACAGAACCTGGGTCCTCTGCAAGAGCAGTACATGCTCTCTTTTTTGAGGCAGGGTTTCTCTGTGTAGCCCTAGCTGTCCTGGAACTTGCTCTGTAGACCAGACTGGCCTCAAACTCACAGAGACCCGCCTGCCTCTGCCTCCTTAGTGCTGGGATTAAAGATGTGCGCTACTGTGCACACTCTTAACCACTGAGCTGTCTCTCTAAATACAATTCAAACATTAAAAATGAACCATTTAGTGAGCTAACATGGCAAGAAGACCTCCATTCCATTCATTCTCGTCACTGACACTCTGTCACAGTTTCCATTTTCAACATAGTTAAGCAAGTGCTTGTCTTGCTGCTTTACTTACATTATGTCTGCAGCATTACAATCAACTTTTGGGCTGGGTGTTGAGGCACATTCCTATCATGTCAGCACTGAGGAGGCTGAGGTAGGAGGATCACACCAGTTAGAGGTTAGCCTGGGTTGTGTAGGGAGACACTATCTCAAAAACAAACAAACAACAAAACACCACCACAAAAAAAAAACTCCACATATCCTTATATCTGAAGTTAGAGAACAAGGTCTTTCTGTCCGTACTTAAGGGCCTATAACCAGTTTGCGCAGACTAGGCTGCTCCAAACTTCCGGAAATTGCCACGCCTTTTCCTCCCGAGTGCTGGGCGGGTTCACACTAGAACTGTATTTCTCTACTAATTTTAAAGCCTTTTATGGTAAATCTTTATTAGTGATTGGGTTTTTGTATTTTGCTGTGAGACAGGGACTCACTGTGTACCTCTGCTGACCTGGAACTCATGTTGTAGACCAGGCTGGCCTTTAACTCAAAAAGGTAAGCTTGCCTCTGCCTCCCAAGAGCTGGGATTAAAAGTGTTCACCAACAAGTTACAATCCTTTAATTGTCCTTTTAATTCCATTTTTTTTTCCCACTGTGTGCTGAAGTGGGATTACAAACCTGTAATAGTAACACTTGGGAAACTAAGGCAGGACTGTGGAAGTTTAAGGCCAGCATGGTGTATATAATTAGCTCTAGACCAACCAGAAGTACAGAGACCTAGTCTTCAAATAAAGTAATAAGTAAGCAAACGGTCACAAAATTCTTAAGACTCCTTTAAAATGCTGACGTTATTCTTTTGACAGACACTGAGCTCAATTCACAGGAAAACTGAGTTTCAATAACCCACAGCAGCGGTAGTTGTTTTCTACTTTACTCAAAAAAAGGAAATGTAACCCAATCCACAGACCAGCACTCAAATGGAACAATACTGCAACTAATGGCATGGCAGGAATGACTAAACTTTATTTTGAAAATATTCAGGATTCAAAGCAATGCCTGCCTCCCTAAAGGTGAAGAAAACACGCGCCCTCTTGAAATTCAGTCCACCCTCTTTGCTTCCTCAGACTGTATGAAAGTTTCTCGGCACAGGAGGAACTGAAGACGAACATAAACAGGCCACAAACAGTAGTCTGCTAGCGGATGGGGAAAAGGCTCCCAAGCTAGGGTGAAGCAGAAACGTTTGCAAGGAGAAGACATCCAAACCTGACTCTGCCAGAGACCCGGGGATAAAGGAAGAGAGGACCAAGGGGGCCCGGTGCTCCCCATCAGGCCCGGGACTCCACGGGCAACCTGGCTGGGCAACGTGACTCAGGAAAGCCCGGGGCTTGCGGCGGCCTAGTGCGGCCGGCTCCCGGACCTCCCCGGGCCCGCCTCGGGGTTCGGCTGAGGCCGTCGGGAGGGAGGTCGTGGTCTGCACCTTACCTGGCCTTGTGGCAACGCGGCGGCGAGAGCAGCGCCTCACACTCAACAAGGACCTGGCTCCGGGAACCGGCGATGAATCAGCCCGATTCCATTCAAAAGAGTCGCCCAGGCCTCTGCCGAGAAGTACTTCCGGGTTCCCGGCCCTCCTCGGCTTCCTTTCCCGCACCGCCAATTGGAGACCGTGGGGAGTGGAGCGGGCGGGGGGCGGCGGGGAGCGCACGGCGCACGCGCAGGCCGCGCTCGCCCCAGTCCCCGGCAGGCGGAAGTCGGGCGGGAAGCTCCGCCCTCCTGTTTTACTCGCGGCACCCAGCCGACCTCACCGAGCTCTCCCTGGTTTGGAAATTTTGGAGTTCACTTTGGGTATTTTGGAGTTAGCGTTGGCTTTGTCGAGCCCAGAATCTCCTTGGTTCTGTCCTTCGCCATTGTGGCCCTCCTCAGAAAGTAAACACTTGAATTAAACTTATCTTGGTCACTCGAGAAGCAAAATCGGGAAGAAAAAAAAAAAAAAAACGGGGGCGGGGGTCGCGATAAACAAGCATTTTCCGGATCCCAGTTTACCCCTTCTTGCCTACACTGCCTAAAAAGGATGATAGATCTCAAGGAAAAGTGACGTTTTCCCACTGTTCCTGCCTCTCAGGTTCAGCTGTTCACAGTATTGAAAAAATTACTTATTTCTCTACATAATTATCAATAAACGACTTATTACCTTTTTAAAAAAAAATCTTTGCTCTACGTTAGATCTTCAAAAGGCAAAGTTACCCAAGAATTAATATTGTCAAGTTTCTATCACACCATGGGGCTAGATAGAGTTTCCAGGCTAGATAGAGTCACTCACCATGTTTACAGATTACTCCCACTTTCTTAAATATGCTAAAATTCATCTTTAAAACGTTTCTAAACTTAAAAGACTAGGCATTCCTAAATCAAAAACAAAAAAAACAAAACAAAAAAAAATGGATGAACGAAGAGAACAGATTACAGAATCATGCTCCTTCATTGAAACTCACAAGAAAGAAAGACTGAAAATATGGTTAAGAGTTCCTGGGCCTGGAGAGATAGCTCAGCGGTTAAGAGTTCACACTACAGCTGGAGATGAACCAAGTTCGTTTTCCAGCACCCAGGACGGGCGGCTCCTACCAGCTTGAAACTCCAGCTCCAAAGGATTTGACCTCTCTGGCATTTGAGTGCACCACACATGGGTACGTATCCACATGCAGACACACACATACACATAATTTAAAATACATCTAAAAACAAAAAATTAAGACCTGGTCCTGCACTCGGGAAACTGAGTAGGGAGTATTGGCATGAATATGAGTTCTACCTGAACCACATAGAAAGACCCTGTCTAAAAACAACGAAGGTATTTCAGGGGCTGGAGAACTTGCTCAGCAGCTAAGAGCTCTCGAGGCTCTTCTCTAGTTTATTTTCCAGCATCCACAAAGGGCCTCTCACACAGCTGCTTGTAACTCCACCTCCAGAGGATCCAACGACCTCTTCTGTCTTCCCAAGAGCACTGTGCACATGGCAGGCACAGACGCACATACATATAAAATTTTAAACGATATTATTTAATCATAAAGCTCATCCCCCTTTCAAACCTTCCCTGTCTTCCTACCCAACTTGGAACCTCTCCTCCCAATCTAGTCCACTTTGTGCTGCCCAGCTAGTCTTGGGAATGTGTTTGAACCTACAAGGGTCACATAATTAAAGAAAACCAACTCTTCCTTTCAGCACAGCTATTAATAGCTCATTAGCTAATAGTGGGATTTGGTACCTACCTTCTCGAGCACCTCTGTGCTGGATTTTGTGTGGCTTGAGCTTGCTTAGTTCTTGCTCATGCTGTCCCATCACTATGAGTTCGTGTGTGCAACTGTCCTGTTGTGTCTAAAAAACACTGTTTACTTGATGTTATCCACCCCCTCTGGTTCTTACAATCTCTCCACTCCCTCTTCTGAAAAGATTCCTGAGCTTTGGAGGAAGGGATGGGATATGAATGTATAATTTAGGACTGAGCACTCAACAGTCTCCTAGTCTCTGTACATTGATCCACTGAGAGGCTTTGTGTTAATTAGCATCTGCTACAAGAAGTTTCTCTGATTAGAGTTGAGATATGCTGTGATGTCTTGGTATAGAAATGTTACTAGGAGTCATTTTAATACTCTGTCCATTTATCAGAATAACAGTGCTGGGTTCTTTCTTAAGGCCTATGACACGTCTAGCCACAGTTCTCGGCCCCGTTAACAGTGCTAGGTATTGGTTCCATCTCATGGAACAGACCTTAGATAGCAAGTCTTGGTTACTCTAGGAACATTTGTGCCACTATTGCATCAGTGGGCACATGTTGTCGGGGCAGCTGTGTTTGGAGTTTGCAAGGTTCAGAGCTGGGTGACACTGATGATTATTTTCCTCCTTTGGTAGCATGCACTGCACTTTCTAGCATCGTGAAAGTTAGCCAATAGGGATAGAGCTTCTAGGTGAGCACCAGCTTGGTTTTTCTGTGTTCTTTGAGTCGGCAATAGGGTCAGACCATCAAGCTCTGGGGCATAGCCAAGGGTATTGGCAATAGCTTGTAAGCTTGGGGGTTGGTCTACATGACTCCATTGACCAACAACTCAAAAAGAGGTAACAAATTGCTGGTACTGGGGTTTTTATTTACTCGACTGTGGTGTCAAGTTGGGGTACTGCCCCCCTCAATTGTAGGGTAATGCCATTAAACCTCTCATCATATATGTATTTATAAATATTTTAGCAAACTTCCATCTGTTTAGTAGCAAGATAAAATTTTAAAGGTTTATTTTTATTATTTTTATTTGTGTGTATGTAAATATGTATGTGTAAATTGATACCACCTCTGTTCAAGTTCCTTCAGAGAATAAAAAAGGCCTTAGATCCCATGCAGCCAGAGTTACAGACAGTTGTGAGCCATTTGATATGGGTGCTGGGAACAGAACTCATCTTTCGGAAGAGCAGCAAGTGCTCTTAACCACCAAGCCACCTTTCAAGTCCCTAAAACAGCATTTCAGATTTGTTCAAAAGCTAATGGAAACCATGTCTGAATAACTGGGGAAAGTAAGAGAAAAACATTACACCAAAAATTAGTAAGAAATAACTAGCCAGGCTTGGTGGCACACGCCTTTAAACCCAGCATTCAGGAGGCAGAGGCAGGTGGATCCCTGTGAGTTTGAGGGCAGCCTGGTCTACAGAGCAAGTTCCAGGACAGCTAGAACTTTTACACAGAGAAACCCTATCTTGGTAATAAAAAAAAGAAAGAAAGAGAGGGAGAGGGAGAAGTAGGGAAGGAGGGAGGGAGGGAAGGAAGGAAGGAAGGAAGGAAGGAAGGAAGGAAGGAAGGAAGGAAGGAAGGAAGGAAGGAAGGGAGACTAGCATGATGGTACACATCTTTAATCCCAGAACTTGAGAAGAAGATGCAGGCAGATCTCTGTTAGTTCCAAGCCAGCCTGGTTAACATAGTGAGTTCCAGGGCTACATGATGATACACTGCTTAGAAATAATATTAAATAACAATTATTTTAAAAACATAAATTCTGGAATTAAAAATACAATAACTAAAGTGAAAACTATATAGTGGGTCTTAATATCAGGTTTAAGCAGTGGAATAAAGAATTAGCAATTTCAGCATGGGTCACTGAGATTTGACAAACAGATGGAAAAAACAATGAAGAATTATGAACAGATCTTCAAGGACCTGTGGAACACAAGCAAGCATACGAACATATGTACAAGGGGAGCCTCAGAAGGAGAGAGAAAAGAAAATGGCGCTGTCATATTACTTGAAGAAATAATGACCCCCAAACTCTAAGTGTGATTTTAAAGAAAGCCCATTAATATACACATTAAAGAACCCCAACAGAATAAAGGAGCCCATACCTTGATATATTAACCAATATATTAAAAGACAAAGGAGCCGGGTGGTGGTGGCGCACGCCTTTAATCCCAGCACTCGGGAGGCAGAGCCAGGCGGATCTTTGTGAGTTCGAGGCCAGCCTGGGCTACCAAGTGAGTTCCAGGAAAGGCGCAAAGCTACACAGAGAAACCCTGTCTCAAAAAACCAAAA